TTGCTCCCCTGGTTGCTAGGCAGTTCCCCTGGTGATGTCACCCATAGGTGCAGCACCCTTCTAAGGCAGTAGAGGTAGAGGCAATGGTCCACTAAAGGCTGCATTGGAATTCCAGGCTGAAACTTTGTGGTCACTCATGTTAGAGGTCATTAAAGATCATGTTGCTCGTCTATTCCAGGTGAAAAGAGATGTTTGAAGGTCCCCAACAGACAAACAAAAACATCTCTTCTTCCTATTCGAGCAACCATTATCTACAGTTTTATTTGGACATACAACTGTACATGTTTGTACACTGTATCTTACATGCAGCGTGTGTGTGAAGGACTTTGAGTGGCGGTGTGATTTGGATACAATTGGAGTGTGGCCCCTAAGAGTTCATGTGTCGTGAGCTTAATACTCAGTGTGACACTGTGAGAGGTGCTGGAACCTGTCAGGGGTGAGAGGTATTGGGAAGAAACTGAGTCACCTGGGAAGCTGCCTTCAGAGGGGGTTAAAACAGTTCCCACGGGGCCCTGGCTGATTCTTGGAAGGTGACTGTTATAGGGCTGACATGAGGATCTGGATTTTATCTCAAGAACCCATGTATGAAGAAGCCGGTGGCATGTACTTATTTATACTCCTAGTCAAAGGGAAGCTGGAGGCAGGCAGAGCCCTGGGGCAAATTGCTCAGCCAGCCTAGCCTACTTGGTGAGTTCCAGGCCACTGAGAGATTCTGTCTCAAAGAACAGACAAAAACAAACAAACAAACAAACAAACAGAAAACAGAAGATGGACAGCATTTCGAAGACAATACTGGAAGTGGATTGCTGGTCTCCAACTGTTCACACACATGCATGTATACACAAAACACAGGCACACAGACTCTCTCTCTCTCTCTCTCTCTCTCTCTCTCTCTCTCTCTCTCTCTCTCTCTCACACACACACACACACACACACACATGCACACACGGTCAGTGGCTCTTCCTCTCCTCTCATGGTCTGGTTTTGTCTGCTGTCCATGTTGACCCTGGACTCTTTCCTCTGTTTCTTTCCCGCCCTGACATCTACAATAAGAATCTTCTCCATACTTTAGGGGTAGCTATGTCCTTTTATTTCATTTGTTTCATTCACCAGCAAGTTCCCCAGGTCAGTAGAAGCAGCTGGAAGCGACACTTTGAAGGCCCTGAAATGAATCTGAGCTTGAGACATGGTGGAGAGAGCAAGCCACACACACACCACAGGCCAGCCTGGGCCAGCAGGCTCCCTGTTACTTCAGGACACTGTGGGTTCCCGGGACACACTCCAGACTTACTGACCTGGAAACTCAGTAAATGGGGGCCAGTTGTAACCCAGAAACCCTTCAGGGGATTCTCACTACACAGTTTTGAGAAGCTCTGCTGGATGGCAGTGTGATGGGAGATTACAGCAGTTTTTTTCCCTGTGGTAATACTCTTTATGCTTCTAGAACACATACTGGGAAGACCAATGCCCACCCTCACACTGTTTTTCCTGTGTATCTGCCTTCCTGTCAGACAAAGCTCCAGAATAGTGCTTTGGGTTAAGAGGAAAGGAAGTAGAGAAAGGGGTCAGACCGAGAGATGGGCACCCAAAACAACAAAACAAAACAAAAACCCCAACCCAAACCAAACCGAAAGGAAACAAAAACCTTAGCTTTCCATTTTACCTACTGATCTTGTTGGGCCTTGCTGCACCAGACATAGGGAACCCAAGCTCATGGGACATGTCAGTACACACCTCCCTTGAAACCATCTCAGTACCTTTTAACAAGAATGTAGCAGAGCAAGGAGGGGAACATGCAGACGCTATATTTAGCACACTAAGCCAGTATCCGTGACCATGGCTCGTCTTGGAATGCCAAGTTCATGTGGACATATCCCTTGTTCCCTCTCTTCTTGTGCTAGCGAACTCAGGGCCTCATTCTTGCTAAATATATGTTCTACCATATGCTACATCCATTCACTTGCTCATTAGTTCTAGTCATCATCTAATATTTACAGAATGGGTTTTTCCCAGTGCAAAGTAGAAAGGATTCTTGTTCCATTCAGAGCACCCACGGAGGGGGATACCAGGGAGAAAAGTCTGTTCTTCCTTCATCTTGGACTCAATGGAAACGGCTTCTTCCACCGTGGTCAAAGAGGGCAGGCCAAGGCATTTTCAGTTGTCTCCTTTGCAAAGCTGGGGTTGAGAGGCCGAGGAGTACAGTTCATCTGGATTGGAGCTTGGGATATTTCCGTGCTTTCAGACCCACCCAGCTTTCGTGGTAGCTTCTTTTACAGAGAAGGAGAGGCATGCCCATCTCGGGAGGGTTTACAGCTCTGCTTACAAGTTAAAGTCACTCATGGACCCCTAGTACTGGAGCCAAGTGGGAACTCCTTGGGGTGGAACCCATGTGACCGGACTTGTGATGGTTCATCCTCAAGGTCAACCTGGCTAAATCACCCAGGTGACATGTCTCTGGGTGTGTCTGTAAGGGTGTTTCTACAGAGACCTCAATGAGGAGGGAAGGCCCACTCCGAGTGTGGGTGACATTATGCTACAGGCTTGGATCCCAGACAGAATGAAAAAAGAGACCGCCAACTGAGCACCAGTACTTGTTTCTCTTCCTTCCCTAGTGTGGATTCAAGTGACCATCTGCCTCCCGCTCCGGCCACCGTATCTCCCGGCCATGACTGGCCGCACCCTCAGACTGGGAGCCCGAATGAAGGCTTCCTTTCTTAAGTTGCCTTTCTCATTCATTTTGTGACAACAAGAAAAGTAGTTAAAATTTTTCCAAAGGGGGGGGGGAGCACCAGACCTTCATTAGTTCAAATCAGGCGAAATTCCAGTACTAACAACAGGATGTGGACAGAGTCCCACTCCTCACCAAGAAACTATTTGTATTTGATACCTGCTGAGAAAGGGAAAATCCATCCCCCCTGTAGAGTGCCCCTAGCTTTGTATTAGCTTTGTGTGCTAATACAGGTATTTTTTTTTTTTTTTTTGTCTCATTGCTTTTGTTTTGACTTTCATTTTTATTTTGAGAGACAGGAGAGAGAGAGAGAGAGAGAGAGAGAGAGAGAGAGAGAGAGAGAGAGAGAGAGAGAGAGAGAGAGGTAGAGAGAGAGAGAGAGCATAAGAAAATGAATTTGGGTGAATGGAGAGGAGGGAAAGATCTGGAAAGTGTTGGGGGAAAGAATATGGTCAAAATATGTTGTATGAAAAATTAAATTGATGTTTTGAATGAAGGAAATCCAAGGCAGGGAAGGAATCTCTAAAGAGGGTTGAGGGTCTCCCTGCTGCTGTCCTCTGAAGGCCAAGTCCTGGATTCCCAGGAATCTGCCCATCGCAACTGCTTAGATTTTAGGAATTTGCTTTAGAAGTCAAAAGAAACAAGTGCCTTGAATGACTTTGTCATAAGGATACTCAGCTTTTCTGTTTTACTGATATGAATGTTAACAAACAGAAGATACACGATTATCAGGACAATTGTTCCTATCTCATCTTTACATTTTCCTGACAATATCGTTATTACAACGTGGGCCAGATTGAAATGTGATTATGAACAGCTGGTGAAGGGAGCGCAGACATTTCCACGACACTATGCTGGTAGTCTGGCTGTTGGTGGTGGGGCCTGGGTTCAGGGAATGTGGTGAGGATGTATTTACATGATGTACTGGAAAAATGGGAAGGCGCTGTGACGAATGTTCTTTCTTAACATCTGCTCTTACCTTTATATTCCTTGGTGCATGCATTAAGATTTACTCTGGGCATCACATAGATTCATTATGATGGATTAAAGGTTATTGAAATTACTACATGGATGGTACTGTTGTAGTGAGTGGTAAATCCTCTAATATCTTCGAGTGTGTGTGTGTGTGTGTGTGCACAGACGCTGGTGTTTGTGTGTCTGTTGGAGCCAGAGGATACCCTCACACATTGTTTTTACAGGTGCTATTCACTTTTTTTTTTTTTTTTCTTGGAGACTGTTTTCATTGTTCTAGAGTTTGTAGATCAGGTTAGCCTGGCTGGCCAGGGAGACTGGGCATCCTCCTGTCTCAGCTTTTCAGAGCTAAGATTGCAAGTGTATAATACCATCACCAATTTTTTGTACATGGGTTCTAGTAACTGGTCTCAATGCCTCATGCTTGCTAGGCAAGTGCTTTACCTAGTGAGTTATTTGCCCAGTCCTTAAATACCTTTAATCTAAGAGAGATTAACCAATATTGCTGTGGCAGGGAATGGCAGATTAGGATACACACAGGTCCTTACAGACTCACAAAGTTTCTAATTTTTATATTATAGCTGGGGCATCACTCAGGAACTTATTGAATGACACAGAGTCTCACCATATTCATGATCCACTGAGTCAGAAACTACAGAGAAGTTCCCTAGCTGTGGCCAGAACAGGGCACTGGGAAGCACCAAGTCAGCTTATAATGCTACTTAGGATGCAAAAGCCCACCAAAGCCACACTAGGGATTTCCAGGGACTCAAAGACCAGCAGCCCGATCTGAAGGCAATGAAAATTTGGAACCAAAATTAGGGCCAACTTTTTCTTCATCATGAAAATAGGAAAGAACAGGACATAGATGTCACATATAAATCATCTTTAAAGTGGTGATGTCCATTGTCATTGTATGTGCTTAGTGATAATCATAATTTATCAGTAATAAGAGGATATATTATAGGGGCTTTTATCCTATACAGGTATCTCTCTCCTCTCTCCCTCTCCCTCCCTCCCTCTCTCTCTCTCTCTCTCTCTCACACACACACACACATTCACACATAAAGTTGTCTATATATATATATATATATATATATACATACATACATACATACATACATACATATATATATATATATATATATATATATATAATCACCAAGGCTATAAAGATGGGATGCTCTATTGTGGTCCAGGGCAGAGACAGCATTAAAGGAAACAACTCTTGTGGTTTTCTGTTTGAAGTCTCACCCTGCCCGCTCCCTAGGCAGTCCTGTTTGTTAGGACAGCTTCTTACCTCCTGGGGCTGTTGGTACTGGGAGGCCATGAGAAGGAAAGCACGCTGGGCCTGGAAAGCGCTGTGTACCATTTCCGCCTGCAAACAGAAAGAAGGCAGCCATTTCAGTGTTTGGACTCTGAACAAGTATCAAACACATTGTACATCCATCCACTCCATCTCAGCAGTGAACAGAACCATGAAGTATGCAAACATATGTTCACATAAGAACTTGCAAACGCATAATCACACCATCATTATTCATAATAGCCAAAATGTGGAAACAACCAAATGTCCATCAACTCATAAACAGATTTTTAAAAATGACTTAGCCACGAGATGGTGTGTTATGCAGCTTGTAAAGCAAAGTGCTGTCACAGGCTGTGACATAGGCAAGGCTTCAAAACATTATGCTGAGTGACTGCAACCAGTCACAAAAGAGCATGCCTGTGTGATCTCATTTATAAGAAATGTCCAGAATAGGCAGATCTGTAGAGATAGTAGAATAGTGGGCAGCAGGGGCTAAGGGGACTAGGAATGGGCAGGAAACTGCTGACAGACCACAGAGGATTCCTTTTGTGGTTGATGAAAATGTTCTGCAATTAAGGCTGGGGCGATGACTCAGTTGGCAAAGTGCTCGCCGTGCAGGCAGGAGGACCAGAGGCAAGCTCTCAGAACACATGTAAAAAGACTACACATGGTGGTACTCACTTGGAATCCCACACATGAGAGGCAGAGACAGGCAGATCTCTGAGGTTCACCAGGCAGTCTAGCCTACTTGGTGAACTCCAGGCCAGTGATATCTTGTCTCAAAAAATCAAGATGGATGGCTCCTGGGAAACTACACCTGAAGTTGACTTCTGGTCTCCACAGACACATCCACACAAGTATCCAGCTACATGCATCCATACAATCTCCCCCGCCTCTCTCTCTCTTCTTCTCCCTCTCCCTCTCAAACACACACACACACACACACACACACACACACGGAGCCTGGGTTCTCTAATCAGACCAAATTCACATCTTTCTCACTATACTAAAACCCTCATAATCATACCCTCTAAAAGTGTGAATATTAGGATATATGAATTGTATTTCAAGCTTTTTAAAAGGCTGATTCATGGCTAGGCATGGAAATAGACACTTAGAAGGTAGAGACAGGCTGATCTCTGTGGGTTTGAGGCCAACCTAATCTACATAGAAGGTAAGTTTCGGGTCAACCAGGGCTACACAGTGAGAGGCTGCCTTAAAAAGAAAAAAGTTTGGTTGTCAAAGTTTTCAAAATGTGTCTCATTGGGACCTGGTCACCTGGATCCACCCCTACCTCTAACCCCAACACAAAGGACTTGTATATGTGGGAATGTCCTGGAATACATAGCCATTTTTTTTCTCATCTTCTATTCTTAATTAAATAGTTCTACTTAAGTATAGTAAGACAAATAATTTTAAATTTCTATACCATCTGCAATTAACCTTAGTTAGCTGCTTAGCATATTATTTCTGTTTTAAGAAAAGTCACATCACTGTTTTAGTAAGTGAAAGCAACCAATGTGTGGTGTTATATGTGTATGTGGTGTATGCGTGTGTGGTGGGTCCATGAGCACATATGTACATGTGTGTATGGGCTCAAGGTAGATGTTGGGTAACTTCCTCTATTGCTCTTTATTTTTTGAGACAGGGTCTCTCAATGAACATGATGTCCATTAATTCAGATAGGCTGGCCAGCCAATAATCTTCAAAGATTTGTCTCTTAGCTTCTAACCTGTGCCCCTTCCCCAACAGGGCTAGGGTTGCAGGATCAGCTGCCATGTGTAGCTTTTTAACTGGGTGCTGGGGATCCAAACCCAGGTCCTCATGTTTGCACAGTAGGCATTTTCCTGACGGAACCAGGCTCAGAACCTCAGAACACTTCTTCTTCATCCTCCTCCTCTTCCTCTTTCTCCCCTGTCCTTCCTTCTTCTCCTCTTCCTCCTCCTCCTTCCTCATCCTCTTCTCCCTCCTTTTTTTTTTTTTTTTTTTTTTTTTTTTTTTAAGGCAGGATGTTTCAATGATGGAAGTTTTAAAAAAAAACTACTAGACAACCCTTTCCTCCTGGGCTGCCTCCCCAGCCCTGAGCACAGCTGTGTGATTTTCTTCCCTGAAGGAAACTTGCTTATTCTGGTTCAAAGCTGGGGTTTAACAGCTTAACTGAGCTATGTTTGTATTTTGAACTTCCTATATTATAATCCTGCCTCCTTCTTTCTTTTCCAGAAGTTTCCTTATAGCATGTTTCAAGTCTTTCATTTGTGAGTCTTCATCCAGGGACTTTGACAACAGTCTTCAGGGGCTAATATTTGAGTGTCTTCATAGCTTCTGGATCCTCTCTGTCTTTTATTTCCTGGTCTGTGATTTGAGTTCACTGGGCTCATATGAACAGTGCTTTTTGTTTGTTTTCTGTTTTATTCTCCTTCTATTGACAATAGATATAATTTCAACAACTCTTATATACTTAGTGTTTCTTTGTTTGATTTTTCTGAGACAGGGTTTCTTTGTGTAGCTCTAGCTGTCCTGGGACTTGAACACACTGGACTAGAACTCAAGTAGATCCATCTGCCCCTGTCTCCCCAGGTCTGTGTTTAAAGGAGTGCATTACTGCATCTGGAGTTTTTTCTTTTTTTTAATATTGTTTACAACACACATATCATTTCTGCACTTGTTGCATTTTATTTCTTGACTTAATTTAACTCTGCCTTTTATTTCCTTCTTATGGTTTCATCACCCACTTTTAAAAAGCTGTCAAAAAGTTATCTGATATCCCTGTCAATGTCTATGGGTGTTTTATACTTTGATAGAGTCATCGTGGGACATTTGTTTCTGTGCCCTAGTTTATTATTTTCAAGGACACTAAAGTTTGGAACAGGACTGCTTCCCCTACGTGCATGGCTGGCTTGCTAGCTTGAAGGGATATTGCGTAAGCTGTGGGACTCAATGGGAGGCTTTTAGGTTATTGGTGTCCTTGAAGAGGATTCTGGTACCTCAGTCTCTTACGGCTCTGATTCTATCAGACACTGCCATCGTCAGCTATCTGGCCTTGGGACTAAAAGCAGTAGAGTGAGTGCAAACTTTCTCCTGTTTGATTTAATATCAGGTGTTTCATTACAGCAATGGAAATTAACACAACACAAGAGCCTGTGCCCTTCTATTTTTGTTCTGATGCTGCCTGCAGCTGCCAATGCTGGCCCTCCCGTTTGATCTTGCTCATTATTTTGTGTGCACACTGACACTTAAAACTTTCTCATAAAACATGGTGATTCCTTTTAGTCTTTTGTGGCCATATTGGAGATCAGTGTTTTCCTTTCTAAGCAACAGTTTGAAAGCAAAATCTTTATGATCAAGACCTGTTTTTCTAGGACCTGGTATGCTATGACTTAGAAGTAAATCTCTCTCATAGAAGCACGTGTTTGAATGCATGACTCCTGGCTGGTGGTGCTGTTTGTTGAGGAGGGAAGTAGCTAGAAAAAGTGGGTCTTTGTAGGGTGGGCCCCGAGGCTGATAGCCTGCCCTTTCTCGGCTTCCTCGTCTGCAGAGATGTGAGCAAGCAGCCTTGTATGCCTGCTGTCAACAGCAGTGAACTGCTCCTGTTTTCATGATTCTCCCACCATGATGGGCTACATTCTCGGACAGCTGGCCCAAACAAGCCCTTCTTCCTTAGGCCACTTCTTATCAGACATTTAGTCACAGCCAAGAGAAAAATAATGCATGCACGCTGTCAAGGAGCCATCAGCAGGAGATGCTCAGTGGAGGTAGTTAGAGATTTTTGGGTGTTGCTCGTCCTGGGGATTTGGCCTATAACCTAGACCAAGACTTACTCCATCTACTTGGGACATATGACACTTGGATGAAGTAGCTGTCTCAGGTTTTAGGTAATTTCTCCAGAGCAGTACCTAGAGACAGAGCTTAGAGGGAAGCAGCCTAGGGTTTCCTCTTCTCCTTTGTCATATTATCTAAGGAAGTCTTTATGGGATGGAAAAAGTTCACCTGTCAGTTACTGATGTCGTTGAAGATTCTGACTCTTTGGTTTGACGATTATAAAGAAGTGTTTTGATTGAAAGGGTCTCATACTGCAGTAGTATGGTTTGGAGCTAGCCCAGGGTAGCTTTAAACTTATAGCAATGCTCTCTTCCCATGGGTTGGGATGACAGACATGTATCTTCACGCCTGACCTTGGAGTAATTTTGTATTCGTAGTGAAATTGAATTCAGAGTAGAGTTCCCATCTGCTATCCACCCCACCCCCTGCATGCACACAGCCTCTCCCACTTGAGAGTTCTCTCTCATTTGCAAGATTTGTTTTTCTCCATTCCTTTTGGCTTTGCTCATTTGTGGAATAGAAAAATGCTTTGCCCAAAGGAAACCTCCCTGAAAAGAGTGATTCGGTCTTATGTGGTCTTGAGTTATACTAATGTTAATATTCCTTTTGTTTACTAATTTCATCTCTAACCTCTTCTTGTTAGCTTCCCATCTGTTCGGAGCAGTTTCTACCTCTGCTGAGTTGGAATTCACTTCCTGATATAAAAGGTGGGAATCAATTTCATACATTTTCAAAAACTAATTGCTAGAATGGCAATGGCAAGATTGGGATTGGGTTATGTTCATTCCAGCATCAGTATTAGGCTCTTCTCTAAGCAAGAAGGGTAATATATCAACCAAACCAGCAACGGTGAGTCTCTGTTATTCTAGCTGTTTATTTTGACATCTGGCAATTTTTATAGAACATTGAGGTTTTTTGTTTTGTTTTGTTTTTACAAAACAATTTTTTTTACCATAATTTTCATCTAAAGATTTTCTTCCACCAAGAAAATGTTTGAATTCAAATCAAAATTGATAGGCCACTAATTTCAAAAATCACAAATCCAACCCATCATTATTAACATAACAGACCAAGTCTTGTGAATGTTTTCTATAGGTCATTTTGAAGTTCACCACTGTCCCTTTGTCATCCCATTGCTGAGGCTAAGTTGCTGAAAAATCTCATAGATCTCTCTCAGCAAAGAGTAAAGTATTAAAATTTCACCAGCCTGGAAGCCATTATTACTCACGAATACGGAGCTTTGAGCTGAG